CCCTCTCTCTGTCCCTTTCTCTGTCCTTTCCTCTTCTGTCCCTTCTCTTGCTGCTGTCCCTCCCCCTGTCCCCTGTCCTGTCCCCTGTCCCTGTCCCCTGTCCCCGTTCCCGGGTTTGTCCCCTCTCCTGTCCCTCTCCCTGTCCCTCCCCCTGCTCCTGTACCTGTCCCGGTCCCTTCCCCCTGTCCCTGTCCCCTGTCCCTGTCCCCGTCCCCGGGTTTGTCCCCGAGCCCCCCCGCGGTGACAAAGGACACGGCGGGGCTGGCCCGGGCCGCGCCGTGTCCCTGTCACGTGGCTTGGGGACAGCAGCGGTGACCTCCCCGTGCCCAGATAAGCGCGGGGACAGCCTGGCAGGGCTGGCACGGGGCTGGCACCGCACCAGCGACCGGCCCCGGTGGCACTGCCAGCCGCGGTGGCACTGCCAGCCCCGCGGGGGTGGCACGGCGGGGACACAGCAGGACAGAATAGCGCAGTCCCCGTGTGTGTCCCCGGGTCCCCGTGTCCCCATTCCCGAGGCTTCCAGGGTCACTCAGGAACGGCCCCGCGGGTGACAAACGGCGCCGATTGTCCCCGAGCCCGAGGGACAATTGCCGAGCCTTCCGGGAGGGACTGGATCCCTGATCCTTCCCGGGATCCCTGACCCAGGAGAGGCTTCAGCTCCCTGGTGCTTCCAGGCTTCCAGATCCTTCCAGAGCAGGGATTGGATCCCAGATCCTTCCAGAGCAGGAATTGGATCCCAGATCCTTCCAGGGCAGAGATTGGATCCCAGATCCTTCCAGGGCAGGGATTGGATCCCAGATCCTTCCAGGACAGGGATTGGATCCCAGATCCTTCCAGGCTTCCAAATCTTTCCAGGTGAGGGATTGGATCCCAGACCTTTCCAGGCTCCCCTGAGAATTCCAGATCAGCTTTTGTTCCCCTGATCCTTCCAAGTTTGGTTCCCTTGATCCTTCCAGGAGAGGATCTTGTCCCACTGATCCTTCCAGGTCTCATCTCCCTGATGCTTCCCAGGGAGGGTCTGGATGCCTGATCTCTCCAGGATCCCTGATCCATCCAGGATCCCTGATCCAGCCAAGGCTGTGACTCCCTGAACCTTCCAGGCTGTCCAGATCCTTCCAGGTGAGGGTCTGGATCCCTGATCCTTCCAGGCTTTCTCATTTTTCCAGGATAGCGATAGGTTCCCTGATCCAGGTGAGGGTTTTGGCTCCCTCACCCTTCCAGGGCAGGGTTTGGCTCCTCTGAGAATTCCAGATGAGGGTTTGGTCCCAGATCCTTCCAGGTTTGGTTCCCTTGATCCTTCCAGGGGCTGGAATGGATCCCTGATCCTTCCAGGCTCCCTGATCTTTCCAGGGCAGGGATTGGCTCCCCTGAGAATTCCAGGTGAGGGTCTGGATCCCTCCTCCAGGTGAGGCTTTGGATCCCTGATCTTTCCAAATTTGGCTCCCTTGATCCTTCCAGGTGGGGGTCTGGATCCCTGATCCAGGTGAGGCTTTGGCTCCCTGGTTCTTCCAGGGCAGGGATTGGATCCCAGATCCTTCCAGGTTTCATTCCCCTGGTCCTTCCACATTCCCTGATCCAGGTGAGCTTTGGCTCCCTGGTTCTTCCGGGCTCCCAGATCTTTCCAGGAAAGGGATTCTCTCCAGATCCTTCCAGGGAGGGTTTGGCTCCCAGATCTCTGCAGGAGAGGGATTGGATCCCTGATCCTTCCAGGTTTCATTCCCTTGATCCTTCCAGGTGAGGGTCTGGATCCCTGATCCTTCCAGGATCCCTGATCCAGGTGAGGCTTTGGCACCGGAGCCACAGGGTTGGATCTGGCTCTGGAAGGGCAGGAATTTTTTGGGATCCCTGGAAAGAAGGGCAGGAATCGTTTGGGGTCCCTGGAAGGGCAGGAATCGTTTGGGATCCCTGGAAAGAAGGGCAGGAATTGTTTGGGATCCCTGGAAACAAGGGCAGGAATCGTTTGGGATCCCTGGAAACAAGGGCAGGAATTGTTTGGGATCCCTGGAAAAGCAGGAATCATTTGGGATCCCTGGAAAGAAGGGCGGGAATTGTTTGGGATCCCTGGAAAGGCAGGAATCGTTTGGGATCCCTGGAAGGTCAGGAATTGTTTGGGATCCCTGGAAGGGTAGGAATCGTTTGGGATCCCTGGAAAGGCAGGAATCATTTGGGATCCGTGACCCCTCTCCCTTGTGGCCCAGAAGTGACAATTCCAGGTCTGGAAAATCCCAGCTGGGATTTTCCCAGCTCTTCCTGGGCCCATTCCCAGAGATCCCAGAGATCCCAGCAGGACACCAGGTGTCCCTTGGCCCTGTCATTCCCGGCCATTTTTCCCAGGAAAAGCTTGGGAACGGCCTCACCTGGGCACACACCGAGCCAGGTGCTCCCCAAAAACCCTTTTCCCAAAGGATCCCGGATTTTCTGGATTGGGATGTGGGAGTGGGGAGGTGGCAGCAGCTTCCCAGCCATCCCTGGGCCTGGGAAAACTGGGAAAGTTGGGAAAGGGAGGGAATTTAACCCAAATTCCACCAGGGAAAAGTGCCTGGCCCAGGGGAAAATTCCGATCCCAGGATTCCAATCCCAGGGGGAAATTCCAGTTCCAGGGAGAAATTCCAATCCCAAGGAAAAGCTCCAATCCCAAAATTTCAATCCCAGGGCAAAATTCCAATCCCGGTGAAAAACTCCAATCCAATCTGAAAATTTCCCCAAAAGTAATAAAAAAAGATCCCCCAAAATTCCCAAAAATCCTTTCCAAGTCTCCCCATCCCGCTGCCCTTCCCAGGGTTCTCCCAGCTGGATTCCCTCTGGAATTTCCCTCTGAATTTCTGTTCTCTCTGGAATTTCTGTTCCCTATGGAATTGCCGCTCCAGGCACTGGAATTCAGGGAAAGCTCCGGATTTATGATCCCAAAATTATGGGAAGAAGGGCAGGAAATCTGGGAATTCTGTTCCCACAGGAAAAGGTGGGAAGGAGGCTCTGCTCTGACCCTCTTGGGAATGCTCAGAAATCCAAGGAAAGCTCAAAAATCCAAGGAATTTTCAGAAATCCAAGGAAAACACCACTGCAGGGGAAAAAAAAAAGTCTTGGAATATTTTTCTAGCTCCCTTGGATGCTTTTCCAACCAGGTTTTTTTGGGGTTTTTTTTTTGGTTTTTTGGGGGTTTTTTTCCCTGCTGTCGGAATGAATGATCCCAAAATTATGGGAAGAAGGGCAGGAAATCTGGGAATTCTGTTCCCACAGGAAAAGGTGGGAAGGAGGCTCTGCTCTGACCCTCTTGGGAATGCTCAGAAATCCAAGGAAAGCTCAAAAATCCAAGGAATTTTCAGAAATCCAAGGAAAACACCACTGCAGGGGAAAAAAAAAAAATCTTGGAATATTTTTCTAGCTCCCTTGGATGCTTTTCCAACCAGGTTTTTTTGGGTTTTTTTTTTTTTTTTTGTTTTTTGGGGTTTTTTTTCCCTGCTGTCGGAATGTGACTCTTTGGGCTGTAATTCCTAAAATATTCCATGGATTCATTGGGAGTGGAATTTTGTGAGCAGAGAAGTGGATTTAAGGAGGGAAAATGACTCCGCAAAACGGAATTTGGAGAATTATTCCATTGTGAAATTTTTTCCAGCCTTTCCCAGATGGGGCCTTAAAATTATTAGGAATTAAGGAGGGATATTAAAAAAAAAAAAAAAAAAAAAGGGAAAAATCCTTGGGATCTCCATCTGGAGCGCTCCATTTGTGGGATAACGAGGCAGAGAGAGGGGAAAAATGGGAATAAATCAAATCCAGGATTTGGGAAAGGGGAGAGGAGAATTTGGGATGGGATCGGGGTGTGGATGCAAAGGGATCCAAAGGGATCCAGAGGGATCCAGAGGTTTTTCCTGTCTATCCCAGGCCACGGGGCAGGAGGATCCCATAATTTTCCCTGTTTATCCCAATTTTTCTCCTTCCCAAGTGCATTTTCCCGGCTGGAATTTTGGGGTTCTCCCGCTCTTTTTCCTCATCCCTCAGGGTGGGATCCCAAAGTCGCTTTGTGGGGTCCCTTTAGGGGATGGATCCTGCTGGGGGAATTCCATGGAATTCCTGGGGAGATTCCATGTGAAAAGTGGGGCTGATCCCGGAAAACTCCTGGGAATGGGCCCAGCTGGGGGAATTCCATGGAATTCCTGGAGGGATTCCATGCAGGAGCAGGGTTGGGGTCCCAAAATCCCTCTGTGGGGTCCCTTTAGGGGATGGATCCTACTGGGGGAATTCCGTGTGAAAAGTGGGGCTGATCCCAGAAAACTCCTGGGAATGGGCCCTGCTGGGGGAATTCCATGGAATTCTTGAGGAGATTCCATGTGAAAAGTGGGGCTGATCCTGGAAATCTCCTGGGAACGGGCCCTGCTGGGGGAATTTTTGGGATCCAGGGGTCCCTTTGGAGATTTCTCGTGGGGAATTTCTCCTTCCTGGGGGATATTCCAGAGGGTCCCTGTGGGAATGTCCGTGTCCATCCCGGGGATGCATTCCCAAGGGATGATTCCTGTTGGGAATGGGGGTTCCAGGGTCCCTTCCCAGATTTCTCCATCCTTGGGAATGGCTCTTCCTGGGGAATTCCAGAGGGTCCCTGTGGGAATGTCCATGTCCATTCTGGGGATCCTTTCCCACGGGATGATCCCTGCTGGGAATGTGGGTTCCAGGCTCCCTTCCCAGATTTCTCCATCCTTGGGAATGCCCTTCCTGGGGCGGGTATTCCCGGGGGTCCCTGTGGGAATGTCCATGGGGAGAGTGGGAGTTCACTCCTGGACCTTTCCTGACAATCGACCCTTCCCGGGGGGACATTCCGGAGGGTCCCTGCGGGGGTGTCCGTGTCCATCCCGGGGGTCCCTTCCCAGATTTCTCCCTCCTTCGGCAGCGCCGCTTCCCGCGGTCTCTCCCACCCGCCTTCGCCAATTCCTGGGCTCCCTCTCCGGGATCCGGGATGCCTCTCCCGGGGCTGTCCCGCCGTGCCGCTCACCCCTCGCTTCCCCCCGCAGGGCTCCGGGCGGGCGCGGTGCGCAGCCGGTGCCGGTGCCGGTGCCGGTGCGGGAGCGGAGCGGGCGCGGGCCGCCCGCCGCGGCGCACGGAGCATGCCTCTGAGCCCCGCGGGCAGCAAGCATGAGAGCCCCGAGTCGCCGCCGCCGGAGCCGCCGCCGGAGCGCCAGCCCCGCGCCGCCGTCAGCAGCGGGGAGCCGAGCCCCGGCCTGCGGGAGGAGCCGCGCCTGGAGCCGGCCCGGGGCCCCGGCGGGCCCCGCTCGCCCAAGCTGGCGGCCCCGGCGCGCATGGAGGAGCCCGCGCCCGGCGCCATCGTGGTGCGCATCGGCATCCCCGACCTGCAGCAGACGGTGAGTGCGGGGGGAGCCACCGGGCACCGGGAGACAGGGAAGGAGGGAGGGAGGGAGCCCCGAGCGGCCGCCGCCGCGCCGGGACCGCCGCCGAGCCGGGATGCGCAGCGGGACCGTGCCGAGCCGGGATGCGCAGCGGGACCGCACCGGGACCTCGCCGGGATGCGCACCGGGACCGTGCCGGGATGCGCAGCGCGAGCCGCACCGGGAGCGCCACCGCGAGCCGCCCGCGCCGTGATGCGCAGCCCAGAGCGGCCCCGATCCGCATCCTCACCTCGCTCAGACCGGTCCCGACCCGCACCCTGATCCGCACCCCGTTCGGCGCCGCACCGGCACTGGCAGCGACCCGCATCCCGCCCGCTCCCGGCCCCGCTGCCGCCCCGGCAGCACCGGAAAACTTCTCCCCGCCACGGGCCCGGCAGGACGGGTCCCATTGCCCGGGTCCCCGCCTGTCCCGGTGTCCCCATCCCGGTGTCACCACCCCGGTGTCCCCCCGCTCCCGCAGTGCCATCCCGGGGTGCTGCGGTGCGGCCACAGCACGGGGCCGCTCCCCGCCCCGGGGGTCCGCACCCACCGGGACCGGGCTGGGAACGGGACCAGGACAGGGATTGGGACTGGGAACGGGCTGGGAATGGGCAGTGGGGGCGGCTCCAGTGCCAGCCTGGAACTGGGAGCGGCTCCAGGACTGGGACCGGGACTGGGACCAGGCTTTGGGGCCATGGAGCTGCTGTGTGATGGTCACTCGTGTCCAGGGTGCTGGGCGCTCGGCTGGGCTGGACAGTGGTGGACCCTGGAATGGCGTGGGAGTGATGGACACTGGAACGGGGGGGACATGTGCCAGTGCCATTGGTGGGATGTGCTGGAGTGACCCCTGGAAGTCCAGGAGGGAAGTCCAGGAGTGGCCCCAAGGAACTCAGGAGTGACCCCCAAAAATCTAGGAGTGACCCCAGGAGCCAGGAGTGACCCCAGGGTAACCCCTGGAAGTCCAGGAGTAATCCCAGGAGTGACCCCAGGGGTGACCCCGGGGTGACCAGGAGGGCACGGCCCTGGTGAGGGCTCAGCCGGGCACAGGGATCCAGGAACCCGGAATTCCCTGGAATTGGGGGATTTGTAGGGAATGAGGAGCAGGAAAAGCTGGAGGGCTGCGGCGATGGGGGTAATTAACAGCCCTCGTTAGGGGAGGTGACAAGGCCGAGGTGACAAGGCTGAGGTGGCACCTGGGCTGAGCAGGGAGCACCGAGGGCGCTCAGAGCCTCTTGGACAGGAAAAATTCTCTTTTGGGGCCGGGCGTGGGGTCAGGAATTCCATAAAGCTCAGGTTATGGAATTCCCATCTTTTCTCCGGGAGCCTCCAGGTGGGATTTGAAAGTCCCGGGAAGTTTTCCAGCCCTCCTGGAATTGTCTCCACCCCTCTTTGAGGATCCCAACCCCGCTGGGGTTTGCTCATCCCGAATCCTTGGAATTCCTTGGAAGTGCTGGAATTCCCAGGTGCAAATCTCCCCCCAGTTTTCCTGGGAATAAAGGGCCTTTTCCATTGGCACATCCCGGTTTTTATCACCTGCACCTGAGCCAGGGAAGAGGGCTTAAATTTCCCACACCTGGAAAATCCTGGGAAAGCTCCTGGCGGGTGGTGGAGCTGCTCCAGGGAGCTGCAATTCCCAAAACATCTGGAATTGCTCCCAACCCTCGGCATTCCAGAGCTCCAGAAAAGTTTGGATGATGCCGGCAGGTCCCAGAGCTCAGGAAAATTTGGGACAATGCCCTGAGGTTGGTGCTGGGAATGTTGGGATTGTTTTAATGCACGGCCAAGAGTTGGATTTGGATTTGGAGATCCTGGGGAAGTTTCCCAGCTTGGAATATTCTGGAATTCCGTGGGAATGGGGAAGTTTTGCAGGGAATGGGGCTGTGGGAAATGAGGAATTTTGGGGGTCTTTCCTCCTCTTTTCTCCTTCCCTTTCCTTCCCAAGCGTCCTGTGGGGTGATGGGATCCCAATTCCCGGTTCTCCCACTCGGATTGTGGATGCGGGAGGTTGGACTTTCCTGAGGTGTCCAGGGGGTCTGGAATGTCCTGGAATGTCCCGAGGTGTCCAGGTGGGAGGTTGGGAATGTCCTGAGGTGTCCAAGGAGAGGGCTGGGAATGTCCTGGAATGTCCCGAGGTGCCCAAGGAGAGGGTTGGGAATGTCCTGGAATGTCCCAAGGTGCCCAAGCAGGTCTGGAATGTCCCGAGGTGCCCAGGGGTTCTGGAATATCCTGGAATTGTCTGAGCAGAGGGTCTGGAATGTCCTGAGGTGTCCAGTGGGAGGTCAGGAATGTTCTGGAATGTTCTGAGGTGTCTGAGCAGAGGGCTGGGAATATTCTGGAATGTCCTGAGGTGCCCAGGGGTTCTGGAATATCCTGGGATGTCCGAGTAGGTCTGGAATGTCATGGAATGTCCTGAGGTGTCCCGGGGGTCTGGAATGTCCTGGGGAGTCCAGGTGGGATGTTTGGACTATCCTGGGATGTCCAAGCCGGTCTGGAAGGTCCTGGAGTGTCCGGAAGGTTGGGAATGCATGGGATGTCCCACTGATCCCAGTGCAGCATTCCGGGAATCCATGGAGTGTCCCACTGATCCCAGTGTTGGATTCCAGGGAATCCATGGAATGTCCCACTGATCCCAGTGCAGCATTCCAGGGAATCCATGGGGTGTCCCACTGATCCCAGTGCAGCATTCCAGGAATCCATGGAATGTCCCACTGATCCCAGTGCAGCATTCCAGGAATCCATGGAATGTCCCACTGATCCCAGTGGAGCATTCCAGGGAATCCAGCCGCGATCCAGGATCCAGGCTCGGCCTGGAGCTCCAGGTGTTTCCCATCCTGGAGCTTTTCCACAGGGCAGGGAACTGATTTCCTTGGAAATTCAAAGATTTCCAATTTTGGAATTTGAGAACCTGGATCATCCCTCCTCCCTCACCCTGAGCTGGGAATGTGATCCTGGCAAAAGGAGAGTGCAGAGATCCCTGAGGATCCTTTGGATCCTGCCGGAGCTTCCCGGTCCCACCCCGGAGCCACGGATCCTTCGGGAAGAGCCATTCCCACCTCTGGCTGCTCCGTGGGAAGGGTGGTGGAGACCCGGGATAAAATTATCCCAACCTCCCACGGGGTCCGGGAGCTCGGAGCCGGATTTTAAGGAGACAGGAACACACCCGAGCTGGGGTTGGTTCCTCTGGAATAATTTATGGATTCTGCACCGTTAAATCCCATGGGAAAACCCATTCCCGAAATTTGGCAGGAGCATCCTCCTGGTTTGGTAGGAAAAAGTGGCAAATCCAGGAAAAATCCCAGGAATGTGCAGAGTTTTCCTCTCTGTCGGCAGTGCTAGAATCCTGGAGGTGCCGGAGCAAACCTTGGGATCATCCCGTGGGAATGGGCCCCGTGGGGGGCTGGCACCGGCTGTGATTCCAAAGGAGTTCCATTTGTTTTTCCTCCGGAAGCAGGGGAAAACTCATTCCAAGGAACCACAGGCTCGGCACATCCCAGGAAAACCGGGATGTGGGGAGATGGGAGGCTCCTGCAGCCCCGGGAAGCTGCCAGCATTCCCAGGGCTGGAATTTATGGGGACAGCTGGGAAAGATCAGGGATGTGCAGCCAGGGAGGAATTTTCTGGAATTTTCCAAAGGTTTTCCTTCCCCACTTTGTGCTGGCAACTCTTCCTCTTCCCTTTGAAGTCATGGAAAAGCTGGAATTCAAATAAAATCCCAGATGGATTTATCCAGGAGCAGCTCCGGGTATTGGAGCTGTCCAGCTGGAATTCCAGAGGTTTTTCCTGATGTTTTCCAGGGTGTGTTGGGACCTCCCAGCTCCAGTCCCTCAATCCTTGGAATGCCGGAGTGGGGAATTCCCTTCCAAGGGAATTTTGTCCCTTTCAAGGCTGTTTTTACCCGGACCCATCCCTGTTTTCCTCCAGCTTTGCCAAGGAGATTCCTCAGTGTCCCAAGGCTGGGCAGGAATGGGAATTCTGCTTGGGAATTCCTTTGGGATGAGGAAGAGGAGGCTCCTGCCCATCCCATGTGGCCAATTCCCAGGAAGGGAAGGGAGAACATGGAAAAGGGAAGGATGAGAGTGGAGATCCTTCTCTGGGAATGTGGATTTCAAAGGATTGGAGCAGCTGGAAAAGGAAGGGATGAGAGTGGAGATCCCATGGGAATGTGGATTCCAAGGGATGGGAACTCCTGGAAAAATTAGGGATGAGGGTGGGGATCATTCTGTGGGAATGCGGATTCCGAGGGATGGGAACTCCTGGAAAAGTGAGGGATAAGAGTGGGAATGTGGATTCCAAGGGAAGAGAGAACATGGAAAAGAGAGGGATGAGGGATCTCTCCTCTTCCCACCAATTCCCTGCCTCCATCCCAAGGCTTTTCCATTCCCTCTTTTCCCAGTACTTAGATCCCAAAATCCACATAGATCCTGAAATTCCTCTCTCCATTCTTCACTGTCTCAGCCATGGGAACACCGAAAAAAAAAGAGGGAAAATCAGGAGAATTCGATTCCTGCAAGGGGAAAATTGGGATATCGGGAATGGCCCTCGGGAATGGCCCCAAACCTTTGATCCTTCCCTGCTTTCGCACTGCGGCAAAAACCCTTGGATGCGGAGAATTCCAATGGAATTTTCCCCCCTTTTAGGGCAGAATCAAAGCGCTTCCAAACAAGCCGGGAGCTGCTTTTTGCTTGGAGCTTCCCATTGTTTTTCCATGGAAATGCGGCTCCTTTCAGATCCGCCGGATCGCGCTCCATGAATGGAGCAGCTGCTCCGCTTTTTTTCCCTCTTCCCCATTTCCATTTTCCTGTCCCCATTCCTGCAGGTGCTGCCTGCGGATTTTTCCAGGCTTTTTGTGGCTTTTTGGGGTTTTTTTGGGAGCTGTTTTCCCGTGGCGGCCGTTGGAGCATCCGGAGGGAGGATCCGGATGGAGCGGAGAGTGTCCTAAACACTGGTGGGAATCAAACGTGTGATTCCCAAAAATC